CAAAGAATCTTTAGTAGAAGTGACCATGCAGAAATCATATTTTTTCTTGTCTGATCTTGCTGCAGATGAAACAAATAAACTAGCCTGTTTTGTTATACTTTCTTAAAAGCTACGTTAATTTGCTGGGCATGGTGGCTCACTCCTGTAATTCTAGCACTTCGTGAGGCGGAGGCGGGTGGATCAACTGAAGTCTGGAATTCCAGACCATCCTGGCCAATATGGTAAAACCCCATCTCTACAATACAAAAATTAGCAGGGTCTGGTGGCATGTGCCTGTAATCCCTGCTACTCGGGAGGCTGAGGCAGGACAATCACTTGAACCCAGGAGGGAGGCGCAGGTTGCAGTGAGCAGACATTGAGCCATTGCACTCCAGCCTGGGCACCAGACCTGGACTCTGTCTCAAAAAAAGTTAATTTGTTTATCCCAGTGGTTTCCCCCCTGCCCACCCTATGTTTGGTTGACTAGAATTTCTGTTCTGCTGAAAATCTCAGTGTTTTAATATCCCAGACTGAGGACATTTTTCTTGCCTACCCTTGCTCATAAAACTAGACATTTAAAAGCTTGTGCCAAAAATAGTCTTGTGTTGCTTAACAAGGATGTGTTCTGAGGGATGTGTCATTGGGTGATTTTCTCATGTGAACATCCTAGAGTGGATTTACACAAACCTAGAAGGCATAGCCTACTCCACACCTAGGCTGTGAGTCTTGCTGCTGGGCTACAAACCTGTGCCGCATGGGACTGGTCTGACTAGGCAGTTGTAACAATGGTATTTGTGTTATCTAGGCATAAAGGAATGGTCTTAAAATTGTCATGTGGCCCGTCATTGACTGAAATGTTATGTGGCACATGACTGAATTTTTGTTAGTCTACCCATTTCTCTCTGAAAGCTGTGTTAAAAAGTGATTTGACAGCCGGGCGCGGTGGCTCAAGCCTGTAATCCCAGCACTTTGGGAGGCCGAGGCGGGTGGATCACGAGGTCAAGAGATCGAGACCATCCTGGTCAACATGGTGAAACCCGGTCTCTACTAAAACTACAAAAAATTAGCTGGGCATGGTGGCGCGTGCCTGTAATCCCAGCTACTCGGGAGGCTGAGGCAGGAGAATTGCCTGAACCCAGGAGGCGGAGGTTGTGGTGAGCCG